ATTCAGGTCCGGCTGCTGCGTCGCAAACAAATGCAGGTAATACTCCCCCGTGGTCTCATCCCACGTCCACGCGCTGCCGCCGAAACAGCTCCGCCAGTTATTCGGCGCCCGTCGCTTGCCTCGGCGTCGTACCGCGCAGGGCGCCAGATATACCAGTCCCGCTTGGCGGAGGAGAGCGACGATCGCGATTCCTGGAACCACGCGTGCTCGTCGGAGGTGTGGTTCACGACGAGATCGAGCAGGATGCGTAGCCCGCGGGCGTGGCACGCGCTGATCAGCTGCTCGATGTCTGACACGCTCCCGTACGGTGGGTATACGGCTTCGTAGTTCGAGATGTCGTAGCCCATGTCGTGTTGCGGGGAGTCGTACATCGGACATAGCCAGATCGCGTCCACGCCCAGACTCTGGATGTAGTCTAGTTGGCTGTGGATGCCCCCGATGTCTCCGATGCCGTCGCCGTTGCTGTCGCGGAAGCTGGCCGGGTAAATTTGGTAGATGGTTGCGTTTTTCCACCACATTTTGATGGACTTTTATCAGAGAGGAGAGAGCAGAAGAAAGATGGAGTAAGACGGATATGGAGATTAGAACGAGACAGGAAAGAAAGAGAAGACAGACCTCTTATCACCCCCCTCCCCCTCTCACCCATGATTCCCATTCACCCACCACACGTTGCCTCACCTCTCTCTTGCTTTTAGCGCCGACACTTGCATGCGGGACACACAGTCCAGTCCCTAGAGGGAAATGACCGTCATTCGTTACGTCAACTTTTACTACTACGGTGTATTCCAGCCTTGTTTGGTGTCTGCTGTCTGCACCTAGCACTGCAGTGCATGCATATGCTTGAGCCAGACATATGCGTGTCCGAGACATGATGGTGGGTGAGATAAGAGATAGAGATAGTGTATCATACCAAGCACAAGCAGGCCGCTTACTGTTATGGATCATGGATACTAACTAGATTGTCATCTGGCGTTCTCGCGTCTGTTGAGGTCTTCCTGCACCGAGTCCGGCTCTCTTGCAGGATCTCGTCGGCACCTTGCTACTATATATAGAGTATATAAAAGCTGTATCACAATCCGGTTACTCTGGACTGGACAGTGGATGGTGGACGGTGGATGGTGGATATATAACGGCCAGCGCGGGTATTAGTAGCAACTGGATATGGCTAGGGTAAACTTTATTGGGTGGGTAAACTACTTATACTCTAGTGCTGTAAGTACTGTGCTGCATCCAGTACTACCTTGGCAAGATAGGTAGTAGGTGATGATACTAGATAGATAAGTAATAAATAGGTGGTAGGGAATAGGTACGTAGGAGTAATACTACTAGGTACCTAGTATGCATGTGTATGGTCCTCCGCAGTAACAAGACAATTAATATTAAGCCTCCCAAAATAAAAACCTGGTTAGTGACGTGACGCAGATACATAACTAGGTAAGTAGTTAAATAAACAAGAGAAATAAAGAATCATAGAATCCAAATCCCAATTGCAATCCCAATCACTCCCAATTACTCATAATTCAACCACAAACACCGACCAACCCATATTTCTCCAAAGCCTAGCTTACTTTACCTGAGTAGCAGGCCTAATGCCATATCATACAAGTACAGAACAAAAAAAAAATAAAAGCAAAACCAAATCCCAGAAACATACATAGGGGCCCGGAGGCGTGCGTAGAGAGGGTCACAGCATAGTTCAGTAAAAGTCAAAGATGGTAGCTTACTATTATTTATATATATTTAATAGTTTGCCACACTCACTGACCATTTCATAATAGTTGTCAAACTGTTACCTACAGTAACAGTTAGGTTGTAGCTAGGTTGTGTTACAGTTGCTTACAGTTGCAAAACAGTTATTTATTATTATTTACATATAATAATAATTACTAACGATACAACCTCACCCAAACCGGGTAATTACATACAAACGTTGTTAAAGTTGAATACGATTCAGAAACTATTATGTAATTATAATTTAACAAGAATAGTTCTGTAATAAAATAGATTAGATACGGAAGATATCTATTACTTATGAACAGAAACTGTATTTTATAGATATATAACAAATATTAATCATAATTTCTAGACATTATCTGGTATTTTATAGATATATAACAAATATTAATCATAATTTCTAGACATTATCTGGTATTTTATAGATATATAACAAATATTAATCATAATTTCTAGAGATTATCTGGTTACACTCCTTAAATAATAGTAAGATTCTTATACAAAATATTCTCAGAAGTAATATATAATCATACGAAAGTAGTAAAAGACCAGAATATAATAATTTGTTATTTACATAAAATCAATATTCCATGAACAGTATACTAGATCTTGTCTAGTATTAATATCAACTGATACCTGTCTGTAAACATTATCTATATCGATCATAAATGCCGGCTCAACTTTACTTTGTAATCCTGACAATACCCATCTCTTAGAAGAACAATAGAAAGGAAGAGTTGTTGCCTTATCTGTATTTCCGTTCCGTACCCAAGGCTGTAATAAAAGAAAGAAGAAGCATTCTGATTGTGTATAATGCTTTATACCACAACTCACATATGCTATTGAAGACTGGTATTTAATAAAATTTCCAGTGGTAATTGTCTGTGAATGACTGGAGAACAGAACACAGTTAGTATCTTGGAATAGAAGATATATAGAAATCAGCTGCGAAAGCCTTTCACAGCTGTCTCCTTAAAAATAAAGAAATCATACCGGGAACAGAATTTGATCTGACAATAGTAAGATAATTGTGTTTTATCATACTGGCGAGGAAGTGAGATTGAATATTCTTGCCGGTACGCTGAAGGTAACATGTCCAGTATATCCTGCTCAGAAAGCGAAGAATGAGGCCATTCAATCGGATGTGTCATTGTAACTTGCAGGTCAGTAATAAATTCATCTGCAAGAATATGTTTCTGGATCAGACGTGGGCAGGACATATACAGATCCTGGACAATCTCTAGTAGAATTGGATGATCATCCCGCCAGGAACCCGCAAGACCCAGGCGTAAAGAGTGGTGGAGCCGATCTAGCCGGAAGAGATAAGTCATCAGCTGAGGCGGCGAGGCGCGATCTATCCATCTCTTGAATATTCTTATATAGTGTGATACTATCAGCAGCTGGCTATAATTTAGAATAGGTACTTACCTATGCTTCAACTCACCGGCTAGAACATTACAGTTCATGAGCGGGCCATACTCAGCAGCAAATGTATGAAAATGAAAGCCAGCATGAACAACTGGCACCCCAAGATACTTAAACCATTTATCTTTATTATGCTTCTTATTATAATCATGTGGCAGTTTTCCTGCTTCATGTTAGCTAGGTAACTGGCCAGCGAATACCACAGATACAGACCATGGATGCTGAATGCCTGTAGCTCTGAATCAGTCATGGCTGAAGCTGTAACCACCAAATGCTGAAAGATTCGGCGGCTGTGAGTAATCCTTGCATTTACCAGTGCAGGAGGCAACGCGCGGCTGGTTGAGATAAGGGTGGTTGTCAATGCGATCTCTGCACAAGCACGGACCAGCCACATCTGTGGCGAGGACACATTTTCGGTATTTGGAAAGAGATGTGGTATAATATTTTTAATCCGCAGCAGGAATCTCGGGTGAAACCAGTCGGGGCGGGCACATACTCGAAGAATAATAGGTAAGAGAATGATCCCTCGACCAAGGTCTGACAATGTCCAGGTTTTTAGGTGTTTCAGAGGAGGAAAGTGAGGCCATTGAGCCGGCCGAACAACTTTTTGCAAGGCTGTAGCGAAGTTGGAAACCCCTGAAGGCACAAGAATTTTCTGGATATACTCCAGCAGACGATAGCCGATCCCCTTCCAATCAGAGTGCGGTACATCATACGGACGGCCTAAAACAATGTCAAGAGTTGGCATGATCCGTTCGATTGGCGAAGGCACGGACTGTATCCCTACAGCATTAAAATATCTTTGCTGTTCTGGAACAGTGGCCTTGTGATCACCCTCAGTTCGGTAATACTGATGCTGGAAATGATATCGGCCATGGGAAACAGTATCATATGACCACTGATACTGTTTGCTGCGTGGACAGTAGCATGTCCGACATCCGATATCAGCACTATAGCTGAGCATACCACTATTTTTAGCTTGCTGTGGCATATCTCCAGTAAGAGCCATGACGGACGCAGTAACAAGCACTTGTTTCCCATGGATTGTGCTGTAAAAGCCTTTTGCCACGGTCTCAAGGTCAGTATGGATATTGGCAAGAACATCCTGAAAGGAGGCCCCATGAGGACCCAGCGTTACGGTAAACGAGTTTGCCAGACGTCTTCGCCCGGCATAGGACAAGCCGGCAGGTGTGAGATAGATCCCCTTCAATGCCCTGAACATGTTGCGGTGGGCTCCGAAATCATCAATAAAAAGGAGGAAGGGTAGTGACATAACTCGTGGCTGGCGGGATAGCCAGACAAAGTAGCCACGTCCAAAGGTCTCAAGCTCAAGTTCTGCTCGCAGGGGGTGCATCAAAGTGCACAACCGAGCCCGATTATCGCGCAAATTTAGGACATGATAAATAAAGATGATATCCTCGGATAATGTGGCAGGGGGACGATGAGTATAAACAAGCTGGAAACCAACACGGCTACTAATTGATGACACAGGGACCTCGAATACTGCATCCTCAACCAGTTGATAACCACTGTCGATGTGGGGATCTGTTAGCTCAAGGGACCCACCATTTTCTTTCCTGACCTCAGCCAGCTGGTGCGGTTCAAGAACAGGCTGGACAGTACAAACGACCTGGCCTTGTGTCTGCGAGCCAGACCGCGTATCTCTACCAACAAATATTATCCTGCCATACTGAAATGACATACTCAAACGCCGGAGCCATGGCTGGGAGGTGAATTGGACAAACTCGCTCGGAAGAAAGATGTCCCCAGTATCCGGAGAGGAGGCATACTGACCGGATGTAGTGATCAGGGATGAGCCCCATGCACGCTGATGCCAAAGCTCAACAGGATGATCAGAATACTCTGCCATTCCGAAATGTAGCTTGGTTGACCCCAAATCAGATGAGAGGATGGAGTGGAACAGATGTGGTAGACTATAAACATACTGCAGGGATGTCGCTTGTGCTGACGAATCTTTCTTGCCAGATGACACTGAACTCTGGGCATTGAGATCAACTGGCACAGTGCATGCCTTTGTTGGTAGTACAGGCAGAAAATCATGTACATATCTCTTCAGAGTGTCCACCTTTGCAGGAATGGACTGCAGCTCTTCAAGTGAAGTTGCCGAACGCAGCACCTCCACCAGTGCTGCATAGTTGGCCCGTGAGATCTCGGCACTGAAAGCCCACAACCCAAGGGCCACAGTGAACTTAGAGGGGGGATCTGGAAGACATTAATATCAGACTAGAATGCCCTGTAAAAGGCTTCCACAGGATACTGTTACCTTGATAGCAGGAGAGATCTTGAGAGGGCAAGACCGGGAGATCCTTCAGTCCATCGAGAAAAGAGGAAATATCCTCATCATGCATATCAAGAGAGAGCGTATCATCACCATGTGCAGGCATATCAACATCACTACAACTGTTATCACTGTCAGAATCACTGACATTGTCAATGTTTATTCCAGCATCAATATCACTGGGGGAATCAGCATCGCTGCTAATATCCATGCCAGCATCACTGCTCACGTCCATCCCAGTGTTGCCATCTGAATTGATGCTATGAACATATCCATGGCGATTAGCAGCCACCTCTGGTTCAGTATTGTTACTAACAGTCAGCCCTCAAACAAAAAGTCAAACACGTTTCTCAAAAGGCACGGGAGTATATTACCTGACTGTGTGGCCGGGGCCGGACTTATACTATATTCCAATCTCTGGTAGCCGGTCTTCCGAGGACGAGGCATGATAGATGATGTGATATTATCCTAGAAAGTATTCAGAAATAACAATACTCCAAAGTGGAGGAGAAATGGCTACCAGGAAGGAGCAGAAGATGGGGGATGCACTTAGACGCGTCTTATGGATATCAACAAAACTCTAAGTGGCTACCAGGAAGGAGCAGAAGATGGGGGTGCGCTTAGACGCGTCTTATGGATATCAACAAAACTCTAAATGGCCTGTAGTACTGCAAGATGACAAAGACTGTAAACAACACCTCGCATTACCGAACACGCTTATGATGTCCCGACAAGTTTAATATGCGGGTAACACTTATCCATAGTAACAGATGTATTGAATATAGAATAATAGGTATTACATCTATCAACAGATCAAATCTTAGTGTTATGGCCGTGTTTTTGAATGTATTTAATTGGTTACAGTATCACTATGAGTACATGTAGTAGTACTAGTATAACTGAAAGTACCTAAGTAACTTTCTAGTATATACATTTGACTAATACAATTGAACTGTGAAGATATATAATAGTACTACTGTAAGCTCAGTTCAACTACTACTAGTACTAGTACTACTACTTAGTACTGTAGTACTCTTAAGTACTTTACTACTAGGAATACTCACTTACTACTAGTACTAGTAGTAGTCAGTACTAGTAAGTACTTACTACTAGTAGTACTAAGAAGAATTGAATGCCAAGGGGCTAGATAGTACTATTATTTAGTGCTACTAGGAAGGTCCTGCAAATGCCTTTCACAGGACTCTCTACTACAGTCGCACTACTGGATGGCAGTAGTAGCATGGCTCTGATAACTATAATAGAAAGAATCAGCCTTCTTTTGTCACTGGCTTAGGGATTACTATTCTGCCACTCTGTCTTACCGCCTATGTAAAGTATGCCTTCGGAGTGGCTGTCTGAATAGCTTCTTTCTTGTGTTACTACCAGTACCGTTCACTGTGGCCCTCTGAATAGCTTCATCCTTGCGTTACTACTAGTATCATTCACTGCGGCCCGCAGGGCCCGCCGGGGGGGGCCGCCTAGGGCTATGTAAGAGCTGCCTCTCCCCCCTCTCCTTCCTCTCCTTCCTCTCCTCTATCTCCCCTCTATCTCCTCCCTCTCCTCAATCTCACTCTTCTCTACAAAGACCTACCAGTACTGCTGCGCTTCCAACCAGTCCCTCTGCCACTACTGCCTCGATCGGCCGCCATGCCCGCCGCCATGCCCGCCGCCATGCCCGCTGGTCTCATGGCCATCATCACTGTTGTGGCCGTTCTCGTTCCGGCCGGCGTGATCCTCTACAAAAAGAAGCCCGCCCTCTTCACCGCGGAAAACGTCCTGGAACTCCTGGATTTCTCGGTCAAAGTACTGGAGAAAGTTTTCGCGATCCTGGAGGTGATCAAGAAGATCACCGACATTGCAGTGGAAATTCTGGAGGCATACAACAAGATGAAGGAGGCGCAGAAGGCAGCCCAAGCCCAATGGAAACTTCAAGTGAGTTTACATCTCTCTGAGTACATGATTGACATATAACTGATATATAGCCAGTACTATCTTACTATCGATGTGCCAGAATGTTTCGGGAAGGTTGTTACTATCGGGGATGCGGGATGGGCCAGGCCGGGGGAATATGATTCAATAAATTATCCAGATAATGACATCATTAAAATCCAAACTTTTGTGAAGTTATTAACTGCAAAACAGCCAGATATGCTCCATCACCTAGTATACCCTTGAACATCATACTGTGTGTATATTTCAGTTCCGGGCTGGTTGTTTTCCTTTTCTTGTCCTGTAGCCACCTTGCGGCTCTGGTCCAGTGTTGCTGTCTTCATTCTCCCTGCCCTGCACATATAGAGTGCTGTGATTCTCATTCTCATACCCATCCTCACTCCTGTTCTCATACCCATCCTCACTTGCATACTCACTCCCACCATCATTACCACCTGCATTCTTCTTTCGGTGCTGCTGCCTCTGGCTACCAGTGGCAGGCAGTGCTGCAGCCGCCCCATTCAGATTCTGACCCACCTGGCACTGTTCTGGCAAATGGGACACAGTGGCATGTGTTTCACCATCACTCGAACCTGATATGTCAGAATCATCTAGAAGGGGGCGTTCCTCCCGATGTACTGCAGCAGGATCACCTTCTGGGAGCTCATTGATATTGATTTTCCATTGACCACGGCGTATTCTAAACGCAGGCTTTAATCGCTGGGGGAAGTCTCCAATGCTAAGCTTATCTTGAAATCGCTTGCATGTATGCAAGTCATCAAACATATGCAGCACAGCGTGGCGGTTCCATTTATTATATGTTCTGAGCTTTGAGCAATGCATAAAGTCCTGCTCAGTGAGACTGGCAAAATAGGTCATGGTCATCAGCTGGGTTGTGATATCTAATCTTAATTAGTATCATCTGCAAAAGCCTTTCACCAACTCCTCTACTTACACTTCAACCAGTCCTGACCCAGAGTAGAGCAGTCATCGATGGATATCACCTGCTGAGCCCAAGGAAAAATATCAAATACCCAGCTAAGTTCAAACCGGCTAGCTATGGCCTGGTTCACAAGAATAAAATCCATTGAGGCACGAATCTTGTGCGCCTGCCGAGGTGTGAGTGTCAGAATCCAATTATTAAATTTTCTCAGCGCTAGATCCAGGGACTTATTCTTCCAGGTTTTGTATAAGTCCCGGACGCGGGTTACCGCATTCTTGTACATGTCCGGGTAGCGGAGAGGCCTGGAAATGCCTGCTCGACTGGCCAAGTCACTCTTTATTGTCTAATCATGGCTGGCAATAAACTGCCGCCGTGC